GACTATACAAGTATATAATACAAAAATAACAATATTATATAGACTATTTCAAGTCTATAATCAAAACTATACTAAAATCAATAGTAATTATAAGGTATTTAATAAGTGGATTTGTTATTAAGAACTTGTTATATTACTTTCTTATGATTAAGTTGTTAACTAATATTCTTATATGAATTTGCTATTAAGTAAAGTGCTACTTATATATAGAATTGATTGTTGCAAAGATCTCTAAATATCTGTAACACTAAACAAGCAAAATTTTTATAGTTCTAAAGATTAATATTAACAATTCGATATCTAATGATCAACAATTCAAAATATCAAAAGTTCAACATATCTGTCACATTAATGTATAATATATGTAAACAATAAGCTCAAAAATAACTAACCAATAAAAATAAAAATAAATAAAATATATTATACGAAGTATTTAATAAAAATAAACTAAATAATTGTCCAATAATATATAACAAATAAAATATACTATAACAATATCAAAAATATAAATTATTATTTTTATTTTAATATAAAAATAAAAAATATTTATTAATAAAATAACAATATCAATTTTATTATATTTTTTTCCAATTTTCAGTAATATAATATAGAGATATGTATATATTAATATATTGAATACAAAAATTCATTTTTAAAAAAATTGATTTGTCTTTTTTTTACTGACTTTTTTATATAATAACTAATAGAATTATAAATTATACATGTAATTTTATTAATAAAATATAGTAAAAATTAAAATTTTTGTTTTATATAAAAGTTTATAATTTTATTAATAAATATTTTTTATTTTTATATCAAAACAAAGATTATAAAAAATATATATTAAAATACAAATTTTTAATTTTATTTAATATAAAAACAAAAAATATTTATTAATAAAAATAAAGATTTTATTAAAAAGAAAAATTTTTATTTTTATTATATTTTACTATACTTTTTTTGGATTTTTAATAATTTAGTATAAAAATATATAAATAATTAAATAATAAATAAATATTCTAATTATAATAATATACTTATTTATTATTTAAAAGCAAATTAAAAAATTGATTTAAAAATATAATAACTTTATTATAATATTTTTCTCTGTAGAAATTTTTCTTTTTATTATTTTTATTATTAATTAAATTATATTAAATTTAAACAAAATTAAATATATTTTTTAATCAAAATATTGTAACAAATTTGTTTATTAGCTTATAAATTTTTTTATTAGCTTATAAACTTAAAATTGGATTGAAAAAGAGAATTAAATAATAAATAAAATATTAAAAAAAAAGAGGAATATTCAAGTTCTATATCAATTTCTACAAAATATTATAATAATTTAAAGATATAATAATATAAAAGAGTTGTGAAAGAGTAAAGATCAAAGAGAAAAGAAAAAATATAAAATAATAAAAAAATAAATGATAAAGAGAATTTTGATATACTAATTCTCTATACTTATATAAAGCTTTTTAGAACTAAAATAATACAATTAATAATAATAATAACAAAAACTCTTTTATTGTACTCTTTTTATGAATGAAAAATATCAAATTCAAAAATAACAAAAATTCAAAATAATAAAAGTTAAAATACTTTATCAAAATTAATAAATCTAATAACAATGTTTTATTGATACAAAGCTCAAAAATTCAATAATAATATTTTATTTAATACAATATAATTCAAAGCCAATAATTCAATAATAATATTTTGTTTAGTACAATATAATTTAAAACTATTTGTATGCAAGCTTTGATATGTATAATTAAAAGTATAAGAGATAAATATTATTTGAAAGAAAATTTTTGTTAAAAGAAAATTTTATTTTTTATTTGCAATATATTGAATTAAGACTCAAATAGCATCTTTGTTTATTTATTTTTTAAAAATATAATTTCAGATATAATAACTATCTAAAGGTAAATAATTAATCAAAAAGATAAGATAAAAATAAGATAACTAAAAGATAAAATGACAAGTAAAATAAAAGATAAAATAAAAGGTAAAATAAAAGATAGAATAATAATAAATGATAAAATAAAAAATAAAAGATAAAATAATAGGTAAACTAATAAGAAAGATAAAGTAAAAGATAAAATAATAAATAAAATAATAATAAAAATAAAAATAAAATATAAAATAAAATAAAATAATAATATCTATTAAGTTATTTTTACTATTTTTTATATTTTCAATATTTTCTATTTTTCTACTATTTTTGAAAGTTATAATTTTTCTCAAATTTGCAAAATTATTGTTATTACTATAATATATATTAATATCTGTATTATTTATAAAAGATTTTTCTAATTATCAAATAAAAATAAAAATCTTTATTATAACAATTTTTACTATATTTTATTATATTTTTTTGATTTATTATAGGAATGTGTATATAATAAACTTGAAATTATAATAAAAATAAGTATGAATATTAAATATTGTAAAAGTTTTCTTAAAATATATAATTTGACTTTTTAAGTAAAATATAAAAGATTTATAAAATGAATATTAATATAAATTTATAACTTTTTCTAAAATAATATTACAGGTTTTGCATGTTTTACAAAAAAATTGGCTTACAGACTAATTAATATTAATCTAAAACAATTCACACAGAAAAATTCATAATCATTTACACAATAATAAGTAAATATGCTAGAGAAATGAACTCTCAAACTTTATAAAAACTTGGATACCAGCCAAATCTATTCCAAACTCAAAAACAAAATATATTTATTTAACTGATAAAAAGATGAAAAATACTTTTTGTTGATAATATATGCTTTTTCTATTACTAGACATTGTTGTGTTTGATTCGATTAATGAAATGGATGTATGATGATGATGTTGATATTGTTCGTGTAGGTTGGGAGATGAGGTTGGGAGTTGGTGTTGGGAGTTGATAGGATGTTGCAAAATACATCATTGTTCGCCGTGTATTATATATCAAGTTTCAGATTTCAATTTATACATTCAACCTGAATATTTCGGACTAGTAAAATTCGTATCATTTCCCCGAATTTTATATTACTTATAATAATAGAAGATTACTATTACGACTAATATGTAATATACTCATACACCAAATTGCCACCATTAATATATATATTATATAACCACTACTCAATAAAAATCCCAATTTTAAATTAATCAATTAACCATTCAATCTAATTAGTCAATTAATTTAAATTGACATTCTGATACCCGCCATTTATAGAACTTGAACGTTTTCCGGATCCCGGTTTGAACCCAGGAGTTTCCATATTAACACAAGTTCTCGGGAAATATCCTTTAGCGCCACCGCGCGTCTCATTGATAGCTCGTACCCACCCATCGTCATATTCTTCCAAAACGATGACTTTATCTCCAGGCTCAATACTTAATTCATCTTGAAGTGAGGGTGTGAAGGTTGAGATTACTACGTAAGTGCCCATTGGCTCTTCCTTCATTTTCTCGTAATTGCTATTTTGTACTTCGAATGCCGTTGCGGATTTCGCTAATATTGCGTCTGTTTGATCTTGATGCTTCTTTCGACGTACGATTGCAAAGAAACTGCCAGCAAGAAGTATCACACCACCAACTACACATAGTCCCGCGATTGCGGGTGTTGAGATTGTTCCGGTTGGTACTGCTTGACTTGATGATGAGTTTACGCCTGATGATGAGTTTACGCCTGATGATGAGTTCACGTCTTTTGTGCCAGGTGCAGATGCTTCTGCGACTGTTAGTGGCGTTGAATTACTACCACTAGCTAATAAATGAATAAGATTAGATTAGTTTTTATTCTCAATAATTATACTCTTTTAAATACATACTATTTGCTCCTGATGATGGTGATGATATCGGAGTATTTCCTACATTTTTTGAAATAGTAGGATTATTACTGTCATTGTTGTTATTATTATTATCTTTATTATTATTATCTTTATTATTGTCTTTATTATTGTTGTCTTTATTATTATTGGCTTGTGGTGGTGGTGCTCTTTTTTGGAGGGATCGCCTTGATAATGATTGTCTCTTTAATTTAATTTCCCGTTTTGTGTTCCATCTATTCGGTAAGAGCTTTTTCCATGTTTCAACTGGACCATCAAACGCTATAGGATTTGCAATTGGTGCACCATCAACCACTATCGGATTTTGATCAGAGTTGAGGAGGAGAGCGGTCGAGGCAAATAATAGTGCAAGAAACGATACTGAGCGCATTATAATTATTAAATTAGGTTTATGTTATGTTAAATTATTATGTATCGGTGTATATTATATATGTATATATATACTGTCTCTGTCTTTTTCTATGTAATTATTAACAGTCTATTTTGTGGTTATCGTGGATTTATTAAAATGTCTATTTTGAGCAAGGAAAAGAATGGACATTCCATTAGAACATTTAGTTACTCGAGCAAATATGTATCAATGCAATTACTGTCTTACCATTTATCTTTGATATAATGACAAAGTAAACTGTTTCCACTCAAGACAAATACGCGAATTTGAACGGTTGATGGATTATTTATAGAAGATAATGTAGGTTATTGGGAGATGAGTAAAGAAGGATATCGGAAAAAGAAGTAGAGGAGAATAAATAATATTGGGGTAGTCGAGATTAGAGGAAGAATAAGAAAACGCTTTGTTTGAATATAAAAATACTCGGTGGAGCGTTTCTTTTTCGAGTTATTATTATTGTTGTTGTTATTAATATTAATAGAGAAGGAAGAGGAGTGAGAGAGGGAAGAGGAGTGAGAGGGGAAAGAGGGATAATAAAGGAATGAAAGAGAGAAAAGAGAGAGGTAATAAGAACACAAGATGGTAATAAGAGTATGAAAGGATAGAAAAAAAATGAGTGGTTGGGTGCTTGGTGGTGATACCCGATATATTTGTTTTTTGTACACACGCGAAAAGGTTGACGTACAGTCGCGTGTGTATGTATGTATGTTATGTATGCAAGGTACTGATATGTATATTCTCGTAACGTATGGCAGCTTAGTAGCCAAGAAAGAAAATGATTGTGATTTAGTTGGAGAGAGAGAGAGAGGTTAAAGATAGAAACATAAAGATGAATGAAGAAATTGAAATTGAAATTGAAAATAAAATTACCATATATGTACATGTGTTATGTAGTATCTACTATATTTATATTACATGTATATACATTCATATATGCGGGCCAACAAAGAATTTAAAATAATAATATACGAATGATCCAGTCATTCAGTCTCGCAACAATAAATAAAACAACAGACATCAATGTCGTTGTTTTTTTTCATTTGTAACACCACTTCTTATACATATATGTTTCGTATAAAACCATAATTTATGCTTTAAATTCCGTTTCTGTTTGATTGATCAAAACAGTATGGAATAAGCATTTTTCACCAATTCAGATATCGTGATTAAAGGCTAAAATGGTAATTTGATAACCTAGACGTCGAGAACCCATAACTATTTATATTATTAATCAATCGAATGAATATTTAATTTTAATTTTAATTTTAATATATATATATATCCACAGCTTAACGTTAAGCGGATCATGAAATATTTGTTATATTATATTCGCACAGCTGTGAAATGAATTTTATTCAACTTTACTTCCAACACATAATCCAACACCCACAACCACCATCGACATTCCAATCCACGTTTCTAGAATTTTTGATAATTTAAAAATTATTGATCGAAATTATTTTTTGAATAAAATTAAAAGTTACCTTTTGATCCGACCTCTTCGCCCAACAACCCAGCCGCCAACGTCGTAAATATAAAGGTGAGTGAGTTGGTGATTGGAACCGCGAGAGAAAGATCTATATTTTTAGATCAAAAATTAACAGAATATTATTCCATAACAATCTAAATGTAAACTTTCATATTAGTAAATATGCTGACCAGCTTGCCCTAATGTATAATAATAAACAACGGATCCACTCAAATTCAGCAATAATGGGACGATATACTTTATAAAGAAAAAGATTTCATTTTACTCGGGCACAAAGATATTAACAATAGTTATATCAATAAATCATCATACCTGCCACTTTGTAATCAAGTAGCACACTTCAGCAACAATTTGCCTGAACCATGTATCCCGTCTAATATTTTCTAGGCCAGCGCTTCCACTCTTAATGAATGGGTTAGTGAAGCCCCAACATAATGCAACTTATCATAATATTTATTCGTTTAAATATTTTAAATCAGGATTATTGATCGAGTATTATTAAAAACGACAGTTAAAATGTTTACCCAAAAGAAATCCGATAATGTTCTCTAACGAAAAAATAGTTTCATTTTCAGACGCATATATCAACAAACTAATCTATTTATTATTCATGTCATTGATATTAAATCGGATACTTACTAAATAATTCAACACTTTTATTATCGCCATTATAATTATTATCCATGGTTATTGTTATGAAATAAAGTTATCGGACTACACAATGGTGATTATATATCTGACATGTACCTAAGCATAAAACGGTTCATTTTTAAATCATTTCTTTATTATCAAATATATGCATTTAATTAAAGTAAATTATTAATGAATGATCGATCAATTAATCGAGTAAAGAACAGCATGAATTATATATATGTATGAAAAGAATGTATTTTTGTAAGATCAAACTATCAGGAGGATACCAAAAAAAATGTGAATAAAAAAAATAGGTGACGACGAGCATGAAAAATGAAAACAAAAATATAATAACGCATAAACCGAATATATACACATATTATTAATACTATTAATAATACTAGAAAACAAAAAAAAAGGTAGTATGTACGTATTTGAGAGAACGTGATAATGATAATAATAAACTTTCATCGAAAAATAATCACATCATCATCCTCCTCCTCATACATAAATACTATCTTTGTGCATATAAAACTCAATATAGCAAAAAAATAAAAAAACGAAAATTTACAAGGAAAATCACTATTGATTGATAGATTGATTGAATTTAAAAAAAAAATCAAATTTTTTATATGTATGTATATGTATATATATATTTATATATTTTTATATATGAATTGCTACTGAAAAAATCGCCTCAAAGTCAACTAACTAAAAAACCTTCGAAGAAATCCTGGTGTATCCTTTTGAGATGACGCTGATGATGGTGGAGGCAGCGGTTTTTGTGATTGTGGTGGTGTCGACGAAGACGGTGTTGTTTCAATAGAATCTTCTTCGAGAATCTCAATTTCCATCGGAGTTATAACAGTTGTATTCTCCTCTTCTACTCCTCCTGCTTCTTGATAATCATTTTGCGTTGATGATGCTGACTCAAATAGTGAAGAACTTGTACCAATTTGTGAGGAATCATTATTATCAGTTAGATCTATTCCATTATTGTTACTGTTAGTATTATCTTGTATCTTTGATTTTCTTTTTTCAGTAGGTGACGGTGAAGAATTATCAATATCATCATCATCATCATCGCTGTACGAACTTTCTCTTATTTCTGATTGTTCTGGAGTGGCTGCACGTGAACTAAGCCATCCAAATAAACCGGAAAAGCGACTAGGAGTTTGTATTGATGGGGTATTCGGTGTCTTTGTGGTAGTAGTAGTACTATTATTCGACACAACATCGGGATGCTGTGTATCAGCAAAGCTCGAAGCGGAGCTTTCGTTAGTTTTCCGACGTTTAGGAGGATCTCCTTGACCTGAGTTTGATTTTGTCTAATATAATAATAAGAAAAAAAGTTAGTCCTATACGATAATTATTATCATACCAAGCACACGAATATTTATTTACCTCGGAATTACTAAACTTTCGCTTACTGTTAATCGATTCAGTATCACGCATACTTTGATATGCAAAATTATAGCGTTTAAAGGTTCCTCGGGAACTAGCGCTATCGGTACTTCCACGTCTGTGTGAATTCAATTTATTCTCCATGTTGGTGCGATGAACCGATTCGATGGATATGACTCGCTTTCTGATATTTTTACTAAATAAACAGTAAATTTAAATGAATTAAACAAAGAGACATCAACATAATCAAATAATTAAATATTAATTTTATATTTACTCATCAAAATGTCTATGAACTACATCAGCATCATAAAATTTCTTCACCACTTCATCATATATTCGTTCATTTCCATAACCAAGATTTCCATTTGGCACGTAAACCTTCCGTGTCTCCACATATAACGCTTTTAATTGTGCCCAATGACTATCTAACCATTTTGCTACTGGAATATTCGACATTTCGTTTGACACTGTCCGACTCGTGTTAATGGAAATAGGCGGAGAAAGTTGTGATGTCCGACTGGTGTTGACGGAGGAGGGAGGCGAGATATGCGACCGTCCAGCGGGAGATTCATTAGGTTTTAACACATACGAGGGAGTTGGTGACTCGGCTGACGGGTTAATCTTATTTACAACTACAAACTCTGATTTCAAAAGTGAAACGGCTTTTTCAAGAGCTTCTGGACTTTTCGCGGTCACTTCAACTAAATTAGGGCCACGTTGTGGAGTTGAGAGTTTACTAGGAGAGTGTGTTTCACTTTCTGGATGTCTACTACGCCCACTTCTTGGACTTATTTCTGTTTCATTCTTTGTGGGAGTTTTTTGAACAAGATCATCATTCGATATTTCTTCGTTATCTGGGTTTAAATTGACATTTACTATTGGTATTGCTTCAATTTGCTTTTGTGGTTCTATTGCCACTGAGACAGTTGCTCCTTGACCTGTTGCTATTTCTACATTTTCATCTGCATTAGTCTTTGCTATTTCTACATTTTCAGATGTATTAGTCTTTGCTATCTCTACATTTTCATCTGTATTAGTCTTTGCTATTTCAGGAGATTTCGGCGCATCTTCATCTTCATCATTAGCACTTTTATTTTTAGTTCGATTTCGAGTTGGGGTTTTATTTGGACTCTGCGAGTTCCGTGTAGTTCTAGGTGTAGTATTACTCTTTTGAGTGGTAGGACGTCTCAGTAAAGTTCTAGAAATAGTACGTCTGGGAGTACTATGTGCACTAACACTACTACGATTTGTAGGCGATGCTGCATTAGTCGTTGTCGTTGGTGTCTTTTTCGAAACATTTAGAGTGTCACTAGAAAGACGAGTCGTTGGGCTTGATGGGGTTTTTGCATTAAGAGTTTGTCGACGACTATTATTCGGAGAAATGGATTGACTTTTGCTTGTGGAGGTGCTAGATTTTTTGACGCGCAAATTTGGCGGTGTCAATCGATTCACTGATTTTCGTGATGATATCTTTGAGGAGTCGTGTTCGCTACCAGAATTTGATTCGTCATCTGTCCCTTCCGGGTGCCAAGTTTTGTCTTCCTTTCGTTTGCTTGAGCGTGATTTCACACGCCGATTTACTGATGGTGATTTCGAAGAGGCAGAACTAGATTTGCCTTTTGTTTTGTTCGATTTTCCGGATGTTAAATGGACGTGTTGTTCTAACAAATTTTCACTTTCTCTTTCTACTGCCTCTTCATGCTGTTCTTCTTGTCCTTGTCCTTGTTCCTGTTCCTGCTTCTCTTTCTCGTCATTGTCATTCATCCCATTTTTTTCTTTTTCTTTCTCTTTTTGTAATAGAATTTTACGAGATCGTAAATCATGCTTAACAAACAGATCGGACCCGTCTAACAAATTGTCTTGCAATTCATTACTGTCATTAACAATTTCAGTAGTCTCGTCAGGATCCCGAACAAGATTCTCTTCCTCCTCTTCCTTTGCTTCTGCTATATTTTCATGAGACGATGTAATTTCGAGTTGTTGTGTCGAATATTCTTCCTTTGCTTCCGCGATGTTTTCGACAAATGGGGCAGCTTCTGCTACTTCTTCGGGTTGTAATAAGAGGCGAGTTGTTTTTTCATCTTGTTGTATTAGATTATCGTTAGCATCACCTTCATTATCAACACCATTATCATTATTACTATTATTAGATCTAATACTAGACTCGTCTTCCTCGTCTATTTCCTCGTCAGTAGCGGAGTGTGTTTTAGATTGATTTCGATTATATGTCGACTTATATTTTTTACCAATTATCGACTTTTTTCGTGGTTTTCTACCGTTTCCGTAGAGACTGGGGAAATAGATATTTCGAGCAGAACTTTTTTTGTTGCAAATAACCAAAAAAGAATCAATAAGTGTAGAATTTCTGAAAATCCTCGAATGATGACGACGATAATTATGATAATGTCTTTTTTATTATGCTCACCTATCCCTTTGTCGAAGTCTAGCTGATACAGGCTTGTTGTCGTCTTCATCGTTAGGCTCAGTTTTAACAGATCCGACAACATCCTGTTGTGGTTCAATTATCATATTATGCGAATCTTCCTCAGTTGGCTTTCGCTCACTCTGCGTGGTCAATTGTGATAAAATTAAATTGTCAATAACATTAAACGATTATATAATGCATTGATTCGCTTTATTTTTTTCAGGAATAAATCGATAAGATTAACATCGATATTATTATTTACCTCGCTCTCAGATTCTTTTACGTGTTTGTCAGTATCAAAATCCGAATGTATTCCCAGAAAATTTATTTCCTGTGTTAGATCTTGCACGGTATTATCTTGGTTGACGATATTACTATTGCTATTATTATTATTATCTACAGGAGTAACGGGTGCCTCTGTTCTTTTGCCAACCCGTTCAACGAATCCGTCAGAGTCTTCGGAAAAAGGTTCGAGCGTGGATTCTTGTTGAAGTTTTGTAAGCGTTGAATTATTATTATTATTATTATTGTTGTTGTTTCTATTGTGTATTGTTTGTTCGGGTGACACTAAAGAAGGAGGGTTAAAAACTACTTTTTGTTCTTGTTGTTCGCGAGGTATTATTGACTCGCCAACAAAAGGTTTTGTTCTCCTGCTGCTTCTGGTCGACATGTCGCCTGATAGAGAATCGAAATGTTGTATATTCTGTTCTGTTGTTGTGAAGCTTCTGTTTTTTTTTCTAATTCTTTGTTACTAAATTCAACAGTACGGTTTTGTGTTTTGCTTTCTCTTGTTTGTTTTTTGTTTGTTTTTATTTCTCCTTTTAGTTAGTTACTAACTATGATTCACTATCGTGAGTTTGTATACCATACATACATATTACTCTCGTGTTTTCAATAAAGCAAAATACACGGAAGAGTGGTTGCGGTGGTGTCGTTCTGCGAAACAGACACCCGGTATGGTATTCGAAAGTTGTGTTCTAACGATATCCAATAAGAGCAAGAGGAGGATTATTGTGAACATCTGTGACGATCTTTGAATCACTCAAACATCAACGTCAAAATTACCTTTCCTTTCCTGTAATTGTTTGGGTTATTTTTATATATATTTTTGGACACATGAAAAATTTTTCATTGAATTTGGCAATATTTATATTAATTATTGTTGATTACACGAAATAAATTATTGTATTAATTTCGGCCAAAATTAATAGTGCCTGTTTTATCCATAATGAAAAATAAAATACCTGCCTTGACACCAAAAACTTTGACTAATAGTATTTGAGATCTTATATATTGAGAGGTAATTAACGATAACGATAATGTTTAGATTCACTATAGTTAAAACAGTAAATCTATAATTAGAATTTCCACAAAGCGCCGGCCCCCAGTTATCCCGACTCGAAAGATTTCTGTCTTAGAATTATACCCAATCTTTAATTATTATCATGCTTGCCGAGGAGCTCTCATTTCGTGATCCTAACATATTGAACACAATGGCTGAGCGATACTGGTTAGCGTCAAGAAAAAACAAGCAGGCTATGCCTTTTATTAATACGAAACTTTTGGGTAATTAAAAAAATTACCGTATTAGGAATATTTGCTAATTGTCAATAAAAGCCGATAATCGAGGGCGCAGTCACATGATATTCCGATGCAATTTTGATCGGCATCCAATAAGAATGCAGAAATTTTTGATCAGACCGGCAAAACAAATCCGACACAAGAAAAGAAATGAGAAACAGGTGCAGAATCACATGGCCTTCAAAAATTCACATTCACGTAAGCACGAAAATTGACAGTAAAAGTTATTTTATCGTTTGAATTAGAATTAGTGTTGAAACTAAGAATAAGATTATATGTAAAATTGCTTTTCTGATATTTTTTATTAATACTTCAAGCTAGATTTTGACATTTGTTTTCCATATTTTTCACTTTTTTATTTTCTTGTATCAAAGATCACGTGATTTAGCACTATTTCGAAACACTTCGTAAATTTTCTGATTAAAAAAAGTTAGATAATTCTTTTAAAATATTAAAACATGACACTTATTCGAAAATTGAATATTGTCACCAATTCAATATAATGATCACGTGAATAAAAGCACAGTTACATGAAATTATTTATAATAATATTTTTAATTATATATTCAAGTTAAGAATATTCTTTTTATTTTTATTTATTTCTATTTCTCATTATTTCTTATCTTTCTATTTTTAGTCTATTATTAGCTTAATTTAAATATATTAATCATATAATTTTTTTGGCAAATTTATCATTTTCTATATTTGTTTAATTTTTATTTTTCATTTTTGCTATTAATACTTTAGTATAGAACAAGATTTTTAATTATAATGTAATTAACTTTTCATATAATTAGAAGAGAACTAATAATTTTATAATAGTAGTATAAATTTATTGTATTATATGTTATATTGTAACTATATTATATTGCATTATGTTGCATATTATTGTACATATTGTGTAATTATCATACAAAAATATATAAATACAAGTGTCAATAATTAATAAAACTCAAGTTCTTTAAGTTTAATTTAAGTTTTTTCAGTTCTTGTTTTAAGTTCTCTTAGTTTAATTTAAGTTCTTTTAAATTCTATTTAAGTTTAGTTTTAAGTTTGTTTAATTTAGTTATGTTAATTTGATTTATTTTTGAAGATAGTAATTTTTGGTTAAGTTTTTTTTTAATTTAGTCTTGTTTTAGATTTAATTTTTATTTTATCAAAAATATTATTTAGTTATAAATTATTGTAAATACAGTTATTATTATCATTTTAAAATACTTTTATACATAAAAGTTCAAGTAATAATATTATATTTTTGAAAGAATAAAATAAAAATCTAATAGTAATTATTATAAAGTTATTTATAATGTTTCTTAAAAATTATTTTTATTGTAATTTAATAGTTTATGAAGATAATCATCATAAATGATTATTATAAATAATTATTTTAGATAATCACTCTGAATAATTACTCTAAGTGATCATTTCAAGTGATTATTTCAAGTAATCATTTTAAGTAATTATTTCAAATAATTATTCCAAATGATCACTTCAAGTAATAGAATTCCAAAATTTGATTTTAGTTCAAGTTTGACAAGTTTAATTCAATTTAAATTTTGAATCTTTTTTGAATATACCAAAAAGTTTGGTTCAAGTCCAATTCAAATTTTAAATCTTTTTTAAATATACTAAAAATCTGATTTAAATTCAATTCAAACTTTGAATCTTTTTTGAATACACCAAAAATTTGATTTGAATTCAATTCAAATTTTGAATTTTTTTTAAATATAAAAAAGTTTGGTTCAAGTTTAATTTAGATTAATTCAATTTGAGTTTAAGTTTGATTTAGTTTAAGTTTAAGTTTGATTTGAGTTTAATTCAAGTTTGAGTTCAGTTTGAATTCAGTTCAGTTCAAGTCAAGTTCAAGTTCAAGTTTAGTTCAAATTTAAGTTTGAATTTGATTCAAGTTTAGTTCAATTCAAGTTTGAGTTTGATTTGAGTTTAGTTCAAGTTCAAGTTTAGTTCAAGTTCAATTTATATCCTTTTTGAGCTTGTACAATTTAAGTTTATTATATTTAAGTTTATCAAGTAGAATTTAAGTTTGTATTAAATATTTAGTTTGAATTAAAGTATAATATTATTAGAATTTTTAACAAATTTTATTTAAATTATATATAAATGCTAATTTAAAAATAAAAAAGCTAAACAATATATATATTAATAAAAGAAAAGTTTAAAACAAAATTTTGTATTTATAATTTAAGATACTAACTAACTTTGATAGTTTTTGATGCAAGATTTTTTTTATTAGTAATTATATCTCTTTCAGAAGAAAAAAATCATTTTGAGTATATAGAATAACAAAAACAATCAAATAATCATGAGTTATTTTTGCAAAATGAGAAAATTGAAATTGATAAATCTTAAAAAAATAAAACTTTCAATATTATAATTAATTATTAAAAAATGCTTACTTTTTATCAAGTCAAAATATTAATTTTTCTATTTGCTGATTTTTTAAATATATATTATTCTAAATTATTATTATTATTATTATTATTATTAAAAAATCTGTATTTAGTTTTGATCTTTTAAAGAAAAATAAAAAACAAATAATATTAAAGGATTATTAAGAATATATTTAGTTTTAAAAAAACTATATATACTATTATAAAAAAGAAAATATTAAAAAAATTAACATAAATAAATATAAAATAGTATACTTATAGTTTTTTGATTTTATTAATATTATAAATTAAAATTTTTTTTTGATAAAATAATGAAAATTTTTATGAGAATTCAAAATTGTGTATATTATTATCATTGAATTTATTTTGAAATAATATATAATTAGTTTTTTTTTGATAATAGCTATTACTATTTGAATTTTTGCTAATTTAAAAGAAATTTTTTCATTTTCTATATTTTTAATATGATCAATAATTATATTAAAAAGAGAAATTTGTATTATAATTATTTTTTGATATTTTTTTAGTGAAATCTTTGAAGAGTTCTAGAAACTATAATATTTTTTCCAAAAATTTTCATTCTAAAAGTATAATTATATATTGATAAAACTTATTTTTTAAACAAATCAAAGAATTTAAAGCTTATAAATTTATATTAATATAGTTAATAATCAATTTATTTATATTAAATAATAAATTTCAAAAACTTATTAATTTTAAATACAAACAATTTTTAATTATTTCAAAAGTAAAATTCCAATAGATGAAACGATCAAGAATAAATTTGAGAAATTTTATGTTGTAAATATGATAAGTATTTTCAAGCAATTTAAATTATTGAGAAAAGAAATAAATAATAGTATAAAAATTTTTAAGCTTTAAAGTTATTAATATGTATATAATTTAAAATAAATATAATAAATAATATTTATTACTTTATTAACTTTTTCTTTAACTTTAAATAAAGTAACTTGAACAGCTAAATTTAAAATAATAAAAATATAAATGATTTAAATTTTATTTAATATTTGTAAATTGTAAGTTTGTTATTAATTTTTAAATAAAAGTATTATTCAAAATAATAGCAAGTAGCTAATTGTTTTAAAAAAATAAAAATTAATATTAAATATAAATTAAAATATATAAAAAATTATTTATTTTGTAACTATATTAAACTCAAATAAGATATTAAAAAAGTTATCAGCAATATTTTTTCTATTATATTTTTTATTTAAAGAAATAAAATTAATTATCAGCTTCTGTATTCTTCAGTTTTTATTAATATAGTAAATCACTATAAAAATAAAAACTTTATTATTTGAAAATATTCATAAATTGAGAGTGAAAGAAATCTTGATTTCAATTGCTGAAAGATATAACTAAATAGAATTATTAATTTTTGTTTTAAATATTTTAAAATATTAAAAAAATCTACTTTAACTTTATTTTTTTCTTTTTTATACAAAAATATTATTATATTTTTTTTATAATATTAATAGTAGATAGTTTTGTAATAGGATTCAAATATTTGAAATTTTTTTTAATTCTGAATTTTTAATAATTAATAATAAATACTGTCTATTTATTAATTATATAACAATTATACTATATAATTTTTCATTATCAATAGATTTCTAATTTTTTATAACAAATATTATTAGCTTTAACAAAATAAATATTTAAAAAGATATTTATAAATATATATTTACAAACTTATATTAATTATTTCTTTTATACTTTGGTTTGCAATTAAGTTTTTTTGTTTTTTTTTGAAATTCTTTAGTTTTAATATATATTTGGTGATGTTAATTTTTCAAATAGTATTATAAATATTTAGTAATATCTATAATTTTTAAAGAAAAAACTTTTTCATATTTTATTAATTTATATTTAGCAGTCTTTTTTTCTTCTTTTTTATCTTATTAAAAAAGTTTCAAATTTTGCTTCCTTGTTTTTACCTCAGAAAAGTATCTGTGCTAGAAGTTTTCAATAAAAAAATATTATTAATAATTTCTGTATTATTATATTATCA